CCTGACTCATATAATCCTTTTCCTAACAACATATTGCTAGAAATATGAAACCGATTTGGATCCCTCTGCTGGTTAACAGCCCTCTGGATCCTTACCTGATCTTCAAATTCAGTTGTCCATAGTAAATAGGCTCCTCCTGACAAACAGCTTTTAGCAAGTTGTCGCCAATCCTGTGGTGTCATCCACCAAGTGGCAAATTGTTCCATAATAGTAATAGTATAAGGAGCCGTAGGACCATACCGAGTACAAGCCTCAAGTTCCTTAATTAATTTATATGGTAGCGGCTCCCAATGAGGTGCCTCGTTTACTGTGCCTTCTTCCATATAAAATACTGGAAAGCAAGAAGACAAGGTAAAATCTCCCTCTTCTGCCTTTTTTTTGGCTCCCTGCATACCTACATTAGCCAGAGACACATACCCAGGTGTGAATTTTGGTGTTTTTACCTTATTTCTAGTAAAGGGTATGGGAAGAGGTACCTTGGCAACATTACCAGGATTTTTTCGCTTATGATACCCAATCCCTTCCTTCTCCAACTCCAATTCCTCCTCGGTGAAAAATTCATTGTCTAAAGGAGGCGCCAAGGCTACGGCCAGCAGGGGAGTGCCTTTATTTTTGGCCGGAATTTTGGAGAAATCATACTGTGGGTTTAAAACATCCTGGATAATATTCCATGAAGCTAAGGCATACAAAATGCAAGAGGCAAGCCAATCGGTGCCTCTATCTGACAATATGTGCAAAATACTAATAGACATCAGAATACTTATGAACAAACTCACTCTGGCCCATGATTCTGTCATGGATCTTAAACTGCTCACCCTTCCTAGCTCTGCCTGTCTCTACAGAGGGGTCCGCGGCACCCTGGGTGAGGTCCTATCTCTCCCGTAAAAGAAAAAGAAAGCTTACCTTGAGGTCCCATGTTCAGGCGCCACTTGCTGGAGACCAGCTCCAGCCGGGTTCAGAGTACCCCAAAGGTGGAGACAGCATTGGCGATTGGGGGGAAGAAGAAAGAGAGAAAAAGAGAGAGAGAGAGAGAGAAAGAAAGAGACAGGACTCCAGTCTAGTGCAGAAGCCGTTTAATGGGAATTACAACTGGTCTTTTATACACAGTCAGGTGTGTGAGGGGTGTTCCCCACCCACCAGATGTTCTTTCAGGTATAATCCAATAACCTAATCAATGAAACCTTAGTCCATTTATTCAACTTCAATAAATCCTAAGATTATGACCCAGAAGCCTGTGACCAATACTAAGGCTCTTAGATGTGACCCGAGTTTGAATT